CACACTTCCCCCCACACAACCCCACGCCTCCAAACACCCAACTATTAAAATATAAAAAAACATTAAAACACAGAGAAAACGGGATATAACCTAAATGAGATCAAACACCCACAAAAATAAAAAAAAGTCAATTCACACACACATAATGAGAGGGAAGAAACCGTAAACCAGTCTATTAAAGCCATCTGAAACCACCCGCCGGTTCCTAAACCGAACACCCCCGCCGACAGACACGCCTCGCTTAACCGAACCGGAAGAAGTATCGGTCCATAGGGACTGGGGGGGGGCTCCCCTCCTTCCCCCTTCGCTCCCCCCCCCCCTGCGGGGAAGGGGAGGGGGGGAGGGGGAAGGGGTGGCGTCATGTAGATGTAATGGTAAACAGCTCAGAGATGGTGTAAACTGCGGGTTTAACTTCTCGATATGCAACACTCGAGCTAACTCAGTGACCTATAAGACCATTAGTGATGGTCTAATGTAACGGGGGAAGGAAGGGAGGGAGGGTGAGAGAGAGAGAGAGATAGAAAAGAGAGAGAGAAAAGAGAGAAGAGAGAAGAGAGAGAAAAGAGAGGAGAGAGAGAGAAAAGAGAGAGAAAAAAGAGAAAAGAGAGAAAAGAGAGGAGATAAAAAAAGAGAAAAGAGAGTGACAGAAACAGAGAGAACAGAAAAGAGAGAGAGTGAGAAAAGATAGTGAGAAAAAAGATATTTAAATACACACACACACACACACACATATATATATATATATATATATATATATATATATATATATATATATATATATATATATATATATATATATATATATATATATATATATAGAAGAAATACGAGACGGATAAAGAGAAAGAGAGAGAGGAAAAGAAAGAGAGAGAGAGGAAAAGAAAGAGAGAGAGAAATGTAGGGCAACGTTTCGTAATTTGTTTAAAGTTAAGAAGTATAGAAAGCGACCCGATCAATGACGTGCCGACAACTCGAAGCGCTCCTAAGGGGGTAGGAAGGACCAGCTCTACATTGTAATAGTTTACCCTCGTCTTTCATTACCCTTGAACCCAACAGTGGAGACGATAGACAGACAGACAGACGCACACGATAGCTGTAACCTCACCTATTCTCTCACTGCAGGAGTCTACAGTGCCACAAAACGCACAAATACCATTCCTACTTCACGCACGCACTCACACACACAAACGGGTAGGAAATCGTCCAGTGGGAATGATCCCTAAATCCTCCGCGTCCGGGAATCCTATTCTTGCATATTTCAGCAGTGAGAATATAAATATTTGATATGTCAATAGTCATTTTGGCCTGAAGTGTTTTTAGAGTAACATATATATATATGTGCGCTACTGTTTGTTTGTAAACAGCAAAGTTAGCGCTCTGGAGACTGCTGATGTTAGCGTATTCTAGGAACTGTCACAAGTGCTAATGTTAGCGCACTGAGGATGCTATCAGAAGTGCTAATGTTAGCCCACTGAGAACGCTATCAAAAGTGCTCATAATAACGAACTCAAGATACGGTCTCAAATGCTCAAATTACTCGGGACACTCTCACAATAAGTTAGAGGCACTCATGACACTCTCACAATAAGTTAGAGGCACTCATGACACTCTCACAACAAGTTAGAGGCACTCATGACACTCTCACAACAAGTTAGAGGCACTCATGACACTCTCACAACAAGTTAGAGGCACTCATGACACTCTCACAACAAGTTAGAGGCACTCATGACACTCTCACAATAAGTTAGAGGCACTCATGACACTCTCACAACAAGTTAGAGGCACTCATGACACTCTCACAATAAGTTAGAGGCACTCATGACACTCTCACAACAAGTTAGAGGCACTCATGACACTCTCACAACAAGTTAGAGGCACTCATGACACTCTCACAACAAGTTAGAGGCACTCGGAGAACACAGCCAAGTTGTTCACTAAGCACTCACAAGACACTATTGATATATATATCAATAAATTGTCGATTAAGGAAGAGAGCTATGAAGCACACAAGGTTTACCTGTGCTGCATACGAAGCTTCATAATTACCATGCCTGAGTGTATACGTGCTCACACTCACACTCACCACCCACACACACACACACATCCACACGCGTACACGTACACACAACACACACACACAAGCACGTGGGAGTGATCTGGCATTAATCACACATTGTTTTTTCAGCTACACGAACATCCGTTCTACACACACACACACATACTCACACACACACACACACACACACACACACACACACACTGGAGGAATGGTCTAGAAAATGGCTGCTGAAGTTCAACTCTGGAAAGAGTAAGGTGATGAAATTAGGCGAAGGGAGCAGGAGGCTGAACACAAGGTATCATCTGGGAGGGGAAATCCTGCAAGAATCAAATAGAGAGAAGGATCTGGGGGTTGATATCACACCGAACCTGTCCCCAGAGGCCCACATCAAAAGAATATCATCAGCGGCATATGCTAGACTGGCCAACATAAGAACTGCCTTCAGAAACTTGTGTAAGGAATCTTTCAGAACCCTGTATACCACTTATGTAAGACCAATCCTGGAATATGCAGCTCCAGCCTGGAGTCCATACCTAGTTAAACACAAGACAAAGTTAGAGAAGATTCAGCGGTATGCCACCAGGCTCGTCCCGGAACTGAGAGGATTGAGCTACGAGGAAAGGCTAAAGGAGCTGAACCTCACATCCCTGGAAAACAGAAGAGTAAGGGGAGACATGATAACCACCTACAAAATTCTCAGGGGAATTGACAGGGTGGACAAAGACAAACTCTTCAGCACGGGTGGGACACGAACAAGGGGACACAGGTGGAAACTTAGTACCCAGATGAGCCACAGAGACGTTAGAAAGAATTTTTCAGTGTCAGAGTAGTTAATAAATGGAATGCACTAGGAAGTGATGTGGTGGAGGCTGACTCCATACACAGTTTCAAATGTAGGTATGATAGAGCCCAGTAGGCTCAGGAATCTGTACACCAGTTGATTGACAGTTGAGAGGCGGGACCAAAGAGCCAAAGCTCAACCCCCGCAAGCACAATTAGGTGAGTACAATTAGGTGAGTACACACACACACACACACACACACACACACTCATATACTCACACACTCATATACTCACACACACTCACACACACACACTCACACACACACACACACTCATATACTCACACACACTCACACACACTCACACACACACACACACACACACACACACACCACACACTCACACACACACACACACTCATATACTCACACACACTCACACACACACACTCACACTTAAAGATCAAACATGACTGCAGGATAAGAATGTTTGGTAATCCCATATTTAGAACATCCTCCCCCTTTCCCCTTCCCCCCCCCTCCCCCGTCATCTCCCCCTCCCCTTGTCTGCCTCGTCCCACGCTGCCCCCCTCTCCCCAACACTTCCCTTTCCTCAGATATGTTGCCTTGACGTCACTATTGTAGTTGATAACACATCATTTTCCTGCAAGATAAAGGAAAACGCCGCACCCTCACCAACACCTCGGAAACCGGCTCGTTTCTGTGTGTGTGTGTGTGTGTGTGCTTGCGTGCGTTTGTGTGGTGCAGTATGTTTATGGTGCGGTGTGTGTGTGTGTGTGTGTGTGTGTGCTTGCGTGCGTTTGTGTGGTGCAGTATGTTTATGGTGCGGTGTGTGTGTGTGTGTGTGTGTGTGTGTGTGTGTGTGTGTGTGTGTGTGTGTGTGTGTGTGTGTGTGTGTGTGTGTGTGTATGTGGCGTGCTAAGCGTGTGTAATGTGTGTATGTGTTAATATATATGTTAAATATATATATGTAATGTGTGTGTAGGGGAGAGCTAGCAACGAAAACTATATCAAAATTAATTTTACATTAGTATACCATCTTTGCATTCAACACACACAACTAAAGCCTACATAAAGTAGATGTGTTCGAACTGCGCGTTGTGGGGGGAGGGATTGGCGTTCGAGTCTGCAGGAAAAGTCTGGAATAATCTTTATGTCTGTGGCGTGGCCGGCGTTGGGGGGGGGGGGCTCTGCCAGGCCACACCTCGTATACCATAAATATTTAAGCCGTGGTCTTGCCGTTAAATTGCATCTTGTGTTGATATTAATATTTCGGTGCTTGGAGAGGCTCGTCTCGAGTGCTCTCTCTGTGTTTACAAGCCGTCCGCATTGTTTTTCCCAGGAGAAACAGCGATATTTTTTTTTTTTAGATAATTTGCTTATTTTCATCAAAGACTTTATGGAATTATGCCTCGTTTTATTCAACTTTGAATTGAAATGTTTAGATATAGATATACATAGTTGTGAGTGTGCCTGGTTGATCGTGGATGTGATTGAATGAAGTTGAAATGTTCCTGTTTACATCCAATTAATTACATGTAACGAATGCTGGACACGGATTATCGCAGTTAACAAGTTGGAAGCTAACAAGGTGGTTCCTACTGCTGGAAGAAGCGGAGATGAAGGGTATTTTTCCCTTGTCTCTCCTGGAGGTCTGCGGTGGTTCAAGATTTGCCCGCTAGGCGTCATCTCGGGCGTTGTCATGGTTACGGGGAAGCTGCTTGCGGATGTACCTCACCTCGCCCTCACTAAATGTGGGCCTCACTAATACCGTTCAAGCGACGGTTACGTCAATTTACACGGCAGGTGATGAGAGAGAAAGTGAGCGTGAGGGATCGAGGAAGGCGATGCAGTACGAAACGTGCGTCAGGCCAGAGGACGTGTAGCGGATAACGAGGGAGATAAGAGACGCGGAAGGCGTGTTCGCGGGACACCACAACCTCAACCTGACCCCCCAAACTGGTACTTTTATTAATATCTGCCGGTGTCACCTCAGACGTCGGGACACCAAGGCGAGAGTAATGACCAACCGGTTGGTTATCCTGACGCGACGCTGGTCAACACAGCGTTTGTTGAAGGGTAAAAATAGGGTGATGACGTCTCCCCCCCGGCCCGAGTTACTGGAGCAGTAGACCTACCTGTGGGCGGTGTGGGCGTGAGGAGCGTGTGTCTGAGGCGAGTGCCGACAGCAGAATGAGGACACCCTTGCACCCCCAAGCTCAGCATTACCCCAGTCTGTAAAACAGCCAATGGAAAGTGGCCACGTCAGAGCCCCGGCACTAACCCCGCCCCTCCAGCCCATACAGTCACTTTGGCAGATTCCACGCCAGACTCACGCCCACATGACCTTACTCGACCCCCGGGGTCACGACCTGGGTGTACTGCCGCCCACACGCCCACCCCGTATGAATCAATGGGCGGCGTAGCCGTCCGGCGGCTCCTGGCAACTAGAAGGCGTCAGTAACACCACCAAGCAATGTGCTAGAAATTGACCTTGGAAAGAGGCGCTTTTAAGACCCAAAACACGTACTCGTCTCCCAGGCGTATGACATGACCTTATGAGCTACTAATCCATGAGAACTGTAACCAAGTCCTTAAACGGCATGTTGACACACGCGGTGGGTGAGGGTTGGGACCTCACAATGCTCCTCCTCACACTACCTTCTATTATAATTCACCAACGTATAGCCGAAGGCTCTCCTCTGCTCCCCCCGGCAAACCTACACTTCGACTCACTTGATAACGTAACCAACAACGAGCGTGACTGTCACGGCCTCCGTTATTATCTTCCCGGTATTCAATACACGTTGATAAGGCTCTGGCCCACTGTGTAATCTCACTCGAAACATATGCTAAACACATATGTTGAAGTGTGATAATGGGGGCGATCGAGAGAGTAATGACTGACTATGATCAGCCGTTGTGTCTGTTGTTAGTTCAACAGGACAACAGGCATACTCTCAACGGCAGACTGAAATACCTGTCTGAATTAACACACTAGGAATATATGCTTCACTGTGTGTTTGGTCAATATATGAAGGTATGCTCATCAATCATCAGAGTTGATATGGACATCATTCATCAGAGTGACCAGGTCAGTATCAGAGTGACCAACCCTCATCAGTCAATTAGAGTGACCACTCATCAACCCTCAGAGTAACCACCCTCATCATCAATGACCACCCTCATCATCACTGACTACCATCACCATTAGTGACCACCCTCACCATCAGTGTGACAGTGTGACAGTGCAGGTCAAAACACTGACTGATGAGACCGCAAAGCAGAGTGCACAAAATACCAGGAACAATCACGTTATCATCATGTTCCTCCCTCCCCTCCCCTCCCCTGTCGGGTGTTATCAACGAAGATAACCAAAGATAAGGTAGAGTTAATTTGTCCAATATCCTCCCCATCTGACATCAGCGACAACTGACAGCAGTAAAGCTCCCAAATTCGCTCTGTTGCATCACTTGATGTCAAAGCGTGGACGTGATAATGGGGAGGGGGGTCGAGGATTTGATGGGGTGCCAGGGGGAAATTGGGGGGAAAGAATAGGGGGAAATAGGGCTGGGAAGAGGATTTGGGAAAGAGCGTACATAAGCCGAGTCAAGTGTAAACATTGTTTTACCGTCTTGATCCCTTGATTATCGTACCTCGTGGACCTCTTACCCCTACCTCTTACTACACCTCTTACTACACCTCTTACTTGCCCTTCGCCTCTCCCACGCCCTTCACCACGCCCTACAACACATTACCAGCTGAACCACCACACACACACGCCACTGTGCATGTTGTTTACCACAGTCACTCCCACTATTAACAGCTCGCTACCCTTCCTGATTCTCTCTCTCCCCTCACTCCCCCTCTATCTTACTGCCCCACTGTTTCTATCTCTCTCTCTCACCCCTTCTCTCCCTTATTCCCCACTCTTTCTCACTCCTCTGTCTTACTCTCCCTCACTTCCACACTCTTCTGCTCTCTCTCACTCCCTCGCCCCCTCCCTCTTCCTCGCTCTCCCTCACAGAGAGACAGATAGCCAGAGAGAGACAGATAGCCAGAGAGAGACAGATAGCCAGAGAGACAGAGGGGGCTGGAGGCATGGGGATACATAGTGTAATTGTATACCTGAAGCAGCAACTCATGTTAGTAATTATGAGTCAATATAATTCCCTCATTAAATGCACTTAGCGCACCAGCAGGTATTGAGTTGTACGCCCTTCTTCCACTTAACAATTATAATAATAATAATAATAATAATAATAATAATAATAATATTATTATTGTGTATTCACATAGTTGTATTCACCTAGTTGTACTTGCGGGGGTTGAGCTCTGCTCCTTCGGCCCGCCTCTCAACTGTCAATCAATCAACTGTTACTAACTACAAATGTTCCCTCCCCCCCCCCACACCCAACCACTTGGGCTGGACGGTAGAGCGATGGTCACGCTTCATGCAGGTCGGTGTTCAATCCCTTAACGTTCAGGTGGTTGGGCACCATTCCTTTCCCCCCGTCCCATCCCAAATCCTTATCCTGACCCCTTCCTAGTGCTATATAGTCGTAATGGCTTGGCACTTTCCCTTGATAATTCCCTCCTTCTTCCCCCCCCCCCCACATACACAAACAGCTGTTACGGGCTGCTTCCTGTGTGTAACTCCCACGTACCTATTTACTGCTAGGTAACAGGTGCATCGGGGTGAAAGAAACGCTGCTCATTTTGTTTCCCACCGGCACCGGGAATGGAACCCGGGCCACAGGATTACATGTCCAGCGTGCTATCCACCCAGCCACCGACGCGGGGAATCGAACCCGGGCCGCAGGATTACATGTCCAGCGTGCTATCCACACAGCCACCGACGCCCCTGTGTGTATGTATGTGTGTGTGTGTGTGTGTGTGTGTGTGTGTGTGTGTGTGTGTGTGTGTGTGTGTGTGTGTGTGTGTGTGTGAGAGAGAGAGAGAGAGCGAGCGAGCGAGTACGACAGCCCCCCCCCACCATGACCTGGTAGCAGCGGTCTGGTCTGGGGTCGTTACCGCATGATGGTCGTTGAGGGGGCTGTTCAGCACCTAATTGGCACAAACTGCGCTAGGGGGCCCAAGGCCAGTTAAGTCCCATTAACTCTGTGTTAGCACAAGTTGTTAACAAGCCGTCCCTTCCTAGACGACCGTCTTAAGAGCTTCAGGTATAGTTGTCCCATTAAAATACGCTTGAGTGCACCATTTAGTGCGACTGTAGAAACAGTTCATAGTCGTCGTATTGGTTAAGGGAAGCGGTAGGAACTTTAGCAGTGCTTAACGTGGCTGTGTTTGGCCCTGACAGTGACTTACAGGGGTGCCAGGTCTAGCTCCTCACGTCCCCAGGACCTGTAGGCCCTCTCGTTCCTCTTGACAGGGGTGCCAGGTCTAGCCCCTCACGTCCCCAGGACCTGTAGGCCCTCTCGTTCCTCTTGACAGGGGTGCCAGGTCTAGCCCCTCACGTCCCCAGGACCTGTAGGCCCTCTCGTTCCTCTTGACAGGGGTGCCAGGTCTAGCACCTCACGTCCCCAGGACCTGTAGGCCCTCTCGTTCCTCTTGACAGGGGTGCCAGGTCTAGCACCTCACGTCCCCAGGACCTGTAGGCCCTCTCGTTCCTCTTGACAGGGGTGCCAGGTCTAGCACCTCACGTCCCCAGGACCTGTAGGCCCTCTCGTTCCTCTTGACAGGGGTGCCAGGTCTAGCCCCTCACGTCCCCAGGACCTGTAGGCCCTCTCGTTCCTCTTGACAGGGGTGCCAGGTCTAGCCCCTCACGTCCCCAGGACCTGTAGGCCCTCTCGTTCCTCTTGTGTTGCGGTGTAACACAACCCCGACCTTGCCGTTGCCAGGTGTGGGGTGTAGCAAGGTCAGAAATGACAGGTGCAACACTGACTCCGTGTCGCAGTGGGCGACATGCAACAGGTGGGGGCCCTGGAGAACACGCAGCAGCGTAAGACAACTGTTACTGCTGCTGCTCCAGCTGCTCTTTCTCCGCCGCCCGTCCTGCTAAGGTCTCCCAAAGTCAAGAAAACGGTGTGTTTATAGTGTCCTCCTAACCTACCAGAGGACCCAAAACAGAAAACGTGACAAGTACGTCACTTTCGCCAGCCGCTTCCATTTTCTAGTCCAGACAGTTTTTGGCCTTGTGTGATGCATAGGAGGGAAAAGCTGAGAAGTGTGAAGGAAGACTCTCCGACCTTGAAGATCTGGCTACTAGGTACGACATTATATATATATATATATATATATATATATATATATATATATATATATATATATATATATATATATATATATATATATATATATATACTTACAGTGAATGCAGCGTTTGTTGCGTATCTAATCTATAGACAAAATAATATAAAATTATACAATATCCTCAACACTTTAATATTTCAACCAAAGAAAATCTATTAAGGAAGTGAATCCTACGGACTGTGGCAGCCTTGTTTCACTATCCGGAGTCCCAGTGTGGCTGGCCAAACCTCTCTTGTCACCTGACTTGACACCACCTGAAATGGTCTAAATAAATCCCAACTTGACCTCTCTTTGACCTGACCTCGGGGCACTGTATCATTTGGATACAGGATAAAAAAATCAGCTATTGTTTTGAATACGAAATTGCATTAGAATTGTTAGATTTATCTACTAGAGTACTGCAGCCATTTTCATGACTCTGGTCATATTCAGTTCTTGCCAGTTTCTTCCTCGACTGTCCGAACCTGTCCATCTCCTTCACAGGACCTTCCAAGACTGTCCTTAACTGTCATCAACAACATCTCTTCTCAATGATATTGTTGTTCTGTTCAACACCAAGCTTACTTACCTTCGTGTTGATGTTCTCCTACCTGGCAACATCACTTTACTTTCCTTCCCAAGTCTTTATTACTGACTTCACCCCACGACCCCACCCCACGACCCCCACCCCACGACCCCACCCCACGACCCCCACTCCACGACCCCACTCCACGACCCCACCCCACGACCCCACCCCGACCCCTACCCCCCACCCCGACCCCCACCCACGACCCCACGACCCCCACCCCACGACCCCACCCCACGACCCCTCCCCACGACCCCACCCCACGACCCCACCCCACGATCCCACCCCACGACCCCACCCCACGACCCCACCCCACGACCCCACCCCACGACCCCACCCAGAGAGAGAGAGAAAATGGTGGTGATGAGAAAACAGCCACGCCCGTCCTACAACACTCTGGATAACGCTATCTATGGTTAACCTATACCACCACGCC